TAATAACAAATGCTGGAGAGGATGTGAGGGAAAAGGAACTTCTACATTGTTGGTGGGAATGTAAACTAGTACACTCACTATGGAAATCAACGTAGAGATTCCTCAAAAGACTAAAAATAGAAATTCCCTTTGACTCAACTATTCTCTTCTGGGTATTTTCCCAAAAGAGTTAAAAGTCATCATGTTTTTAGAATATTTGTATACACATGTTTATAGCACCACAATTTATAATAGCTAGATTTGGAAACAGCATATATGTCCATTAACAGATGAATGGATAAGGAAAATGTGGTGTTTAAACATAGAGGAATACTACGATACCATAAAGAATGATAAACTTGAGGCATTCATAGATAAATGAATGCAACTTGAGAACACGATGTTAAGTGAAATAAGTTAAACACACAAGCTCAAATATGGCATGGTTTCTCTTATGTGAAAGACACAGAATATATAGAAAGAGCGAGAGAAAGAGCAAAATAGAAGAGGGATAAACAGGGAGTACTGTTTATCTTTCCCACATTATATATTCCAATATTTCCAAAATATTTTAATATATATGCTGGTTTCATTTGTACTACTAGTTTATCACAGTTTGTGGAAAAGAAAGTTTTGTGTTATTACCTGTTTCTTTTTTGTAAGAATCGTTTTGGTTTATGTCTTGTACTCTGGGTAACTACTTTGAAGATAATGATACACAGTGTATTAACTATTATTCTCTTGTTATGAAATTTTGTTTCATTTTTTCATAAAATAAAAAGAAAAAAGTTTGAATTTAAAGCTGTTCATTGCAGATTATATAATCTGTTACATATCTGCACAGATTGGTTATTATAGTTCAATGTTTGATATGTTATATGATTATTTTGAACCTGTTTAAGGAAAATGTTAGATTTAAATCTTATTTTACTTTTTTTTCCCTAAAGCAAGAAATTAGAATGACCAAACTTAATGGTAGTTAGCTTTCTAAGAATGAACAAACATTAAAACATGATTTCATGTAAGCAGACTTCTGTAACATTTGTTTGTTTGTTGGTACTGGGGATCAAACTCAGGACCTTGCACTTACTTGCAAGGCAGGTGTGGTGCTGCTGAGCTAAATCCCCAACCCTTCTGTAACTTTTAAATATGGATAATCTGTGACTATCCTTAGCAAAATTCCTCGCATTTTTTCTAAAACACTTAAATTTTATTGATATAATAGAACATTTAAAAAACTTTTTAAGGGGCCAGGGATTTAGCTCAGTGGTTCTGCCACTTGCCTTGCAAGCACAAGGTCCCGAGTTCAATCCCTGGTACCAAAAAAAAAAATTAAAAAAAATAAAAAACTTTTTAAGCTTTGAATTGTGTTATTGAAACTGAAATGTAAGGATGAAAGATAAGGAAGCATGATCTTTGGCTTGAAGAAATATCACCTGTTTAAAGTTTCAACATGCAAGGAAACTAAGGAAATACTCTAAAAACACTGATTATACCTCCACCTTCTTAAATGTGGATTTTAAATGAGTGATCTGTATAAATTTTCCATGCTTCTATATAATTTGTCACAAGTTTGGTGGTGTAAAGCCACACATTTGTTGTCTTAACAGTGCCGGAGGTCAGAATTTTGAAACTCCAAGCTATAGTATTGCGTTCCTTCCGAGACTCCAGGAATCATCTTGTTTTCTTGCCTGTTTGAGCTCCAGAGGCTGTCCACATTCCTTGGACTGTAGCCCTTTCTGTTTTCTGGGCCAGCCATGGCTAGTCAAGTTCTTTCTCAGGCTGCTGGGATGAAATCCTGACTCCTACTTCCTGTTTTCATCTGTATGACTGAAGGTTACATTGGGTTCACCAGATTATCAGGGTAATCTGCCCATCTCAAAATCACTAATTAATCACATCTACAAAATCCTTTGTCATGTAAGATGATATATTCTCTGGCTCCAGGGATTAGGGTGTGCACAATTTCCAAGGCCATACTGCCTACTCATGGTCTCTTTATCTTCAGAGAAAAGAAAGAAACCCCCTTACTTATGTATTTTATATTTGGGAATCCCACAGCATCAGCCAAGCCTTTTCCCTCTCCTACCCTAGGAAGAGATGCTTGTAAAGACTTTTATTTTTTTCTGTGTTATCTTGATTAGTTTTTCCTTTGACATGTAAGCTCCATTCTTTAAACACTTTTAAAACAATTGAAAGTGCAATTTTGTTCCAGAATAAAAGCATTATTGAGAAAATCTTATAGAAATGGAAATTAATGTTAATCTTGTTTGTTTGCTGACTGAAAATTTCAATGCTTAATAATACCACATTTAATTCCTTTGGTTGTAGTTACTGTGTCATTAATGTTTTATTATTAGAAGGAAGGTTATGGAAGATGTAGGTTTGAAAATGAAAATGAGGATTTGGGGAAGAACACAATTTAGTAAATAGAATCTGCATTCCAAATTGGAAAGTTTAATTTCTGATTTTCTCATCATTAGTTATATATCCCTGGGTACTTCATCTTGACTCAGCTTCTTCCCCTTCAAAATGAAGCCAACAGAGTTTTCTTTCCCACTCCATGGTTGTATTTAAGAAAATATATATATGTATGTGGTTTTTATGTGATTGTGTAGGTTATGTAGACAGTGCTAAAATTTAAAACCTAAGTATTAGGTTCCACCTAAATTAATAGTAACTCAACTCTTAATTTATAATTTATTAATTTACCCAAGGCACAAAATTTACTACTCTGATAATTAGTTGGAATAAAGTTTATAATGCTTTCAAGTGTGATTAAAAAGATAAAAACTCATCATTATCTGTGATCTTTTTTAAAGGGCTTAGCTTTCCTCTTGGAGAATTCTCTGAGATTAGAGTGCTGGCTTCTTCAGCAGATGCTAACATGGCTGGTTGATGGTATCCTTACTTACTAACTTGCCCTGCTGGTATACCCTAAGAGGTGTCAAAGTGGCTGTAACATGTTGAGATTAAAATTTGCTTCTGAAAATGTCCCCATTAATAATTTTCCACAAATGTACATTCTGTAGGAGAATATTGATTAAAAAGTATCCATAGTATTTCATCACTAGCAAAATTTAGAATTTAACATTTCTATTAGCCAAGCATTGTGCTTTCTAGGGTACAGTATTTGTATCAGCACTGAAATTGTAAATAGAGGTAATCTATTGGAACCTTTCAGACGCTGTCCACTCATAATTATTTAGAATGCTGAGTAATCAGATCTCTCAAGATGATGATGCCAGGTGTGGTGGCACATACCTCTATTCACAGCACTGGAGAGGCTGAGGCAGGAAGATTGCTGTGAGCTTGAGGCCAGCCTGAACTACATGGCAAGATTGTGTCTCAAAAAACAAAAATAAAAAACCCTGAAATGATGGAGATGCTTTTTTGAAATCTTTTTATTGAGTGAATGCACATTGTTTACCATCTCAATGCCATATTTTGTTTAGAAAAGAATTCATGATGTTAAGCAGCAAGGCAGACCATCAGCAAAAATAAAAGGTTTTGAGTTATTCTAAAATGGAATATTCTAAAGGTCCAAGAGGAGTAATGAAGCTATTGGAGAGTGACTTTCCAAAATATCCTAAAAATTGACCACTCTGCAGATGTAAATAGCTTAAAATTATTTGTGAAATTATAATTGCAAAGTGGAAAAATAAGGATAAAGCATCTAGAATAAAGCTGATATGAGGCTTTATGAAATAGCTATGTAGGCCAGGGATATAACTCAATGGCACTGCGCCTGCCTAGCAAGCACAAGGTCCTGAGTTTGATCCCCTGTACCAAAAAAGAAAAAATAGAAATAGCTATGTAATATTTAATAATTGTTGCTGACATTGAAATTAGTGGCATGGTGCTGTGTACAGAGAAGTGAAGTGAGTTAATCCCTCACCTCCCAATTTGTCTACTTAATGAATTAAGGCTTTGCTCTATTTTTGTAGCATTGATAAGAGACAAATATGTTAAATTAATTGTTACTCATCATATCAGCTACATTGTTGTATATTTTTCCTATTGAATTATATATAACTGATGTCAGCAATGTAGATCTTGTCACTAATGTAGATTCCCTATGACTATGCCTTTCCCCATACTATATGTGCAAAATAACTATTATTTAATAATAGATATAGAGGTCAATAGATATATAATTTAAGCTATAATTTAATTTGGGTTAACGGTTTTCTGAAGTTCACCTGAAAATATTTTCACTGTAAGGTGTCAATCTCTTCATTTAAAATTAGCATTGAAGGGGCCGGGATTTAGCTCAGTGGTTCCGCTGCCTGCCCCACAAGCACAAGGACCTGAGTTTGATCCCCAGTACCAAAAAAATAAAAAATAATAAAAAATAAAAATAGCATTGAAGAAAAGTCACAATTGGCCATTGCTTAGTGGTATTTTCACTTGCTTAGAAGAGCATAAATACTCTCCTCTTCCCTTCCTTGTACCTACAGAATTATGCCTCAGAAGTACTGTATGCCTTAAGTTACCCTGTTGCCCAAAGAATTCATAGTGATGTAAGAAACAGGCAAAATGGGACTAAGATGATTAGACTTGTCTAAAAAATCTCAATCATAGTGATTGATCTTGAGTGTCAGATTTCATGTAGCAATTACTGAAGAATAAAAGGTTTAGGATGTCAGTTTCTTTTTAGTACCTAAAGGAAATGAATTGATTGAGAAAGATAAGATATTTATGTTCAGATTCCTTGCTGAATAGTTTGACCCGAGTAACTAACTATACCTTAATTTTGGTCTGGCCTCACATGCTTTATATTTTATTACTGTTATTATTAATTAAATTACTGTTGTTGTTATTACAGTTCTTTATCTTTTTATTGGGTTTAATTTCCCTTTACAAAATATGCATGGACCAAAAATGTGACTTTGGGAGACTATTGCTGAGTTGTTGTTGATGTCAGTTTTATACTGTGATATATTTTCTCTATTTATCAAGAGATCAGTATTTCAATGTAACGATGTGCATGTTTTCCCCCCTTCTCCCGCTGCATGCAGGGATTCGGGTTCGTAACTTTCGAGAATAGTGCTGATGCAGACAGGGCCAGGGAGAAATTACACGGCACCGTGGTAGAGGGCCGTAAAATCGAGGTGCATGTCTTCAATAATTCAATTTCTGGTTTATACTTTTATTTCTCCTTTTTTATATTGCCTCACTTATCTCACATTTGGAACCCCGTCTTGAGTGTGTGTGCACTGTATGTGTGTTTATATCTGTTCTTCACCTTCTTGTACTAAAAAAGTAACACTGCTGTCCTCTGATCCCCTTTTTTCATTGTTTGGAACTTTAATTTTGATTTTTTTTTTCCTGTGTGTGTGTGTATGTATGTTTGTTTTTTATTTACTTTTTTCCTCTTCCCAAAATGTTCATCCTCCTTCTCTCTTGATTTTTTTCCTTTGCTTCAATTTGCTAGATTCTGAATTCCTATGATGAGACCTAAACAAAACCAATTTTTAAAGTGTCTAAAAACTATCTAATTGGTAACGTTGTGTTCTGTGATCAATCAAGGGGCCAGCCAATATCCTCTTTCTCTTAGGAGGCCAGTTTGCTTCCATGTGGGTGTGATAAGAACGGAAATAGATTATATAGAGGTTGTTGGGAGGGAGGGAAAAACCCAAAACTCATGTGGTTTTAAAATCTTATCTAATATGAAGAATTTTGGCAGTTGATTTTTAGATTTTACAAATAACATCCTCAAACATAGCGTTTGTTGGCTGGCCTGCGAGTGTACTATAACTGTGAAGAGGAGTCAGCCACCAGGGTTCACTGGCCCTTTTTAACAGTTCATTGAAGGTTAACTGGCTCCTTTTCCCTTTCCCAGTTTTAAAAAATATTAAATATGAAAGCCACCATTTGAGTAAGATGTCTGCATATTTTGCTTTTTTCCCCCTTTCCAATGGTTTAGCATTTAGGGCCCTTCACTTGACTCACTCTTTCCATCGTAACTATACACAGTGCTGGTGATTGTGCCCATTGGCGGTAAGTGGAAAAAAAAGTGCTAGAGAAGAAGCTTTTAAGAAATGTAATTACAAAACAAGAAAGAAAAAGTCCATCTGCCATCTCACATTAACACTACGAAATGTGATTTGACTTGTTTCTCTTCCTTTCCTTTTCCCCTTTTATTTTCAATGCTGTTGAGTAATGCCGCCTGGACTTTGAATGTACATATTATTTTGTAGCAGTCTGAGCTGTTTGAGTACTGACTTCATGGTGATATTTTTCCCCTTGCACATCTTACTCAGAGTTACTGAACTCCAGTTTGGCTGGTTTTATTAATGCATTTCCTGCCCCTACTTCCTTCCCTACTTTTCCTCTTTCCCAAACCACTGTTTGTATCTCTTTCTTTGCCTTTGACTGCCCCTTTGCTGCCCAAAACACCCTTCCTGGCTCTTTTCTTTTTCCCTGCCTCATTGTTCTCTTTACCCAAATTCTTGTTCCTGTCCTTTGCTATTCTTGCTCCCCTTTCCATCTCTGTTCCATGCAGCTGTTGGTCTCTTTTGCTTACTGGTGGTTTCTGATTGGTTCTGGCCACTTTCCTTTTATGTGCTTGGTTGCATTCTGCTGTAGCACCTGGTTTAAGCACTTGATCCATTCTAACCTTGCTCTTTACTTTCTTCCTTCTTTCTGAAGTTGTCCCCTCCCCCATTTTTTCATTTGTGTGTGTGTGTTTTGTTTAATTGCATGCTCTCAGTTTCATCATTGTTGTCTCCCATTCTTTCCTTATAAATGTGAAATGTTTGTATTATCTGGGGGTCATACAAGAGTAAATGCAGTTTTAAGCATTCCTCATATGGGATGAGCCTCACTGTACAAATTGTAAACGAGACATTAAAATGTCTTTAGTTCTAGTGCTACCTAAAATCCGTCTGTGCATAGCATGAGCTTAGCACAATGTATATTATACTATGAGGCAAAATAAGACATTTACATTTTATAATTTCTTAAAACTGGCACAGTTATGACCTAAAAAGACAATATATAATGACATTCTGTGGTGAGGTTTTACCCTCCTTGCAAGAGCTTTGAAGCTGGTCCTGACACTGGACTGCTATGTCCTGGCTTCTAAGTTCTGTGCATCTCCTCTCCAGCAGTACCTGTTTGCTTTAGCACTCACAGTGCTTTTATTTAAGTTACTCTGTAAGAAGGGTGGAGAGTGCCATAAAACAAAAGGAGTAAACACTTCTTTTAAGTGCCTACATTAAAGGCCTTCTGAAAACTTAAACAGACTATATAGTCTAGAAAATGCAGAATGGCCCTTAAGATTATCAACATGGAGATTTAAGTTCCTATATATGTATATATATTTTTTTATTAACCTTAGAAAATCTGGGACAAACATTGAAAGTGCAAAACAGGACTGGTGAAATCAATAGATTTATTTTTGTAATTTTCCTGTAAATTTCCTTCCTTACCCAGGGGCAAGCCTGTTTTATTAATGAACTTCAGAGTTCATATGCAAATATACTTGTTTTCTATTTACTTTTTCCCATATTTTCCTTAATGCAGAGACTTCTGTTTAAGGATCTCTAGAGAACTTACAAATGTATTTTTTTAGAATACTGAGTGATAAAGTAGCCCTAGGTTTTCATACGGAAACTGCATTTTACTCTTGTTAGCCTCATTTAATAAGCACTTAAATAAAAATTTTGTATATTAATGTTTTATATTATTATATTAATTACATAAATCATTGCTATCAGAAATTTATGTTTTAAATTAAGTACTGTATTACTGGGTAAGCAACTTCATATTCCTTAATGTGGTCTCCTTTCTCCTACCCCTACTTTACACTTATTTTTAGGTGAATAATGCTACAGCACGTGTAATGACCAATAAGAAGATGGTCACACCATATGCAAATGGTAAGAACTTACAAAACGTCTTTGAGAAAGGTGTCATTTATTCTTTTATAAACACCTAATAACCTCTGTTTATTTCAATCTTGACAGTTTGAATGTTTTATATTTACAGGTTAGCTTTTTCCTTAGAATTAAGTTAAGCTTTTTTTCCCCCCTTTTCTCATATTTATTCCTTTCCCTTCTTTCCTTTCCCCTACCCCTCCCACTTCCCCTTCCCCTTTGGATCCTTTCTTCAATTTCACATTATCTATTCTACATTTTGATCCTTATTTACACTTTCAGTTTCACGCTAGAGAAACTATTCAGTATTTACATATGTGTGTCCTATTTATTTCACTTAAGAGTATGGCTTCAATGTGCAATCATTTAGCTATGAACGTCTCTAGTTTGTCATTCTTTATGGCTGAGTAATACTCTATTTTATATTTTAAAAAAACACATCTTCTTTAGCCAGTCTCCAGTTGATGGGCAATTGGGCTGCTTCCAAGTTTTATCTATTACAAACTACCGCTATAAATGTGGGTGCACATATATCGCTGTGGTATGATTCCTTTAATTCTTTTGGGAAGATACCCAGCAGAAGAATAGCTGGGTCAAATGGGACCTCTAGTCCTAGTTCTTTGAGGTATCTCCATACTGATTTCCACAGTGGTTGCCCCAGTCTGCACTCCCACCAGCAGTGGAGCAGGGTTCCTCTTTCCCCACAGCCCTGCCAGCATTTGTTATTGGTTAATTTCTTGATAGCAGCCATTCTTTCTGGGGTGAGGTGGAATCTCAGCATTGTTTTCGTTTGAATCTCTCAAATGACCAGTGTTGTTGAACATGTAAGCTAAGCTTTTTAGTTATTAAGGTGTTTAGCTCTCATTATCATTCATCTTCTACGCAGTACAGACATGCCATTTGAAGTTGCCTACTCACCCTTGAGCTCCCTCTTTTTCCCTCAAGCTACTATAGTTCTACTGTTAGACTTGTACACAGTGTTGCTGGAAGTACACCAACTCTACTTTTCCTACTGATTGATTCCTCATCATGTGAGCGAGAGTAAGATAAGTTGAAGGATACATTATAATCACTGTAACTCTAAACCCCTTGATTTCCTTAAGGCCTGGCCGTAATAGCCATGGTTGTGTGTGTGAGAGGGATTTTCTATTCTATGAGCACAAGTTATATAGTAAGTTTTATAGATGTTTCTCATCTATAAAATGAGAAGGAAATTTTTTATGAATAATTTTTATGAATAATTGTCCTAAAAAAACCCAGAACTCTTGTACCAGTTGTCAAATTTAACAGATTCGTGTTCTCTAAATGTGGTAGAACATAATTTTAATCTGCAGTGCCACAGTGATTTTGCCAACTGTTCTACAGAGCCAACCTGAGGAAAAATGAAGAAAGCAAATGGGCTGGGTCCTGAGATCTCTCTTCTTTTCTTTACTTTTCTTTCTTACTCTTTTTTTTTTCTTTAATAGTGCTGAGAATCAAACCTTGGGCTGCATGCATGCTAAGTAGATGCTTTTCTACTGAGCTATATCCTCTGCCCTCCATTTCTGCTTTGGCCTAAATGACTTTTCATTCTCTGTTGTATATTTAAGGGTTCTGCATAAGATTTTATTTGGAATAAAAGGTATAGTTACTGCTGCTTTCTTTAGAAGTTTGAACTCACTGTACTAGATGTAGGCCTTATGTGCTAGTAAAATCTTTTAAGTAGAAATATATTAATATTCAGTATAACCTATAAGGTCTTTACTAAATATATGCAGCCTAGCTTTTTACACACATGATAGAAATTTATCATCATAATTTCCATTTGCTTTACCTCTTGCTTTCTTATTTTTACCGCTATTATAAAAACAAGTTTCTGTAATTTTGATAACAATATAAACAAAAGGGAAAAAGATATAAAGTATGTTAAATTTTCTTTAGATAACAGGGAAAATGGCATGACAAAAAGAGCCTCTGATAGGATTTCAGAAGACAGAAATTTTACTCTCTGGATATGACTCTACATTTTATTCTGTGACACCACTTTATTAACCTGTCAGATCTTGTTTTCATATCTATAAATTGACAGCCACAGAATTTTAGCACCAGAAGCCTCTTTAGAAATCATCAACCTAACCCTCTTTGCTTATTTAAGAAAGGAGGCCCAAAGAACTATAACATTTACCCACAGTCATAGATATGCTACCTGTCTCCCTCTTTGGGTGTTGTGAGGGCCAAATGGCATCTTTGAAAATGCATTGTAAGCTGTATAAAGCTAAGCATACTCAAGGTATTATTAACAGCATAACAACTTGTATCCATTTGTGGATTTAAAAGGAACTTAGGGCTAGCCTAGGGGTGTGGCTAAGCTGTTAAGAGTCCTTCCCTAGCATGTATGGGGCCCTGGGTTGGATCCCTAGTACCACAAAAGAAAATAAAGGAGTTCTTAGGAAATAAGGCCACTGGTAGGAAAAAAATGGTCAGTTTTTTTTATGTTATTTTAAATTGTTATTCAAGCCTGATACTCGAGAAAACTGCTGCTGCTATGTTTAAGGTCCTAAGAAGATTATCCTGGAAACCTTCCAGAGAATTTTAAGTCAGCATTTTCATTTATGTCGGTTGGAATCACTTAATTTGTGCAAAACATTGTGCCATCTCTTTGCATCTTACACACATTTGACATTGCAGAGCATTCATGCTCTCATAATCCAAGTAGGATTTGAACTTAGATTCCACTATAGTTTTACATAGAATGATGGATACCATCATCAGGAACATATAAAACAGCACATTCTTTAGCATATCAGAACAGGAGATTGGATTGATTGACAATGAATAGATTTTCTCTTAAGTAATGCCTTTGCTTATTGCCATTTAAATCCAGTAATTTCAATAGAATTGGTTTCCACTCATATTTATAAAGTAGCAGTGGCACAGTGCAAGGGAAAGAAATCAATAAAAGAGTTAGTCTTTCAGAAAAATATTAAAGTATGTTTGCTTATTATGTGTAAAATTCAATAAATTTTTCAAATTTTCATAAGTGGGGAATAGTACATTTTTCTTTTTATGAAGCACTTGCCATATTCCTATATATATCTTTTTAAAGCAAAGAAGAAATAAAATGACATCAAACATAATGTTTAGAAATTTCTAACATTTATAAACATTGAAACTAATGTTCAGTAAGTCTGGTGTCTTAACTCTGATTCACTTAAATATATTCATTACAGATTAAACCACTGAAGTTGGAATGTACCTTGAATTTTATTACTGCATGTCTTTCCTTTTTTACTTGGTGAACCCCGGTGAAATCCCAGTGGTAAATTCCAATGAAAGAGGATTTCAGTCTACTCAGAAAACCAGCATGATATGATTGGACCAGGAGTCTAAGATCCAGGTCAAATTTGAATCCAGTCAGAAGATAACTTTATAAAATGACTATAGTGGTAAAGGCTGTTAAAATGATGTGTAAGATGGTCCGGGGATTTAGCTCAGTAGTGCCACTGCCTGCCTTGCAAGCACAAGGTCCTGAGTTCAATCCCTGGTGCCCCCTCCCCCCAAAAAATGATGTGTAAGAAAGTGCGTCACCATGTAGTACAGAATGACACACATACTTACTGCCTTCTTTCTTTTTGTTAAACTAAGTAGGGCATTTGGGTAGTGTTGTGACAGCACTATAACAAACCTGAGGGTTTATTTCTGTCTCTTCTCTTGCTCTTATTCCCTCTCCATCTTCCTCCCTCTTTCCCAATTTGTCTTTCTCCATGAGAATCCCAAGTACCCCTGCCTACTTTTCCTGAGCCTCATTATCCATTCAACTGTTCTAGTCCTGCTTCATGACAGTGCCACTGCCCTCTCATGAAAAACAAGTTGGCACTCTGAGGAGGAATTAATAGTAGACAAATATAAACCCAGAGGTGTCTAAAGCCAACTTGATATTCACTGGTCACTCCTTAAATAATCTCAGGTGCTCACTGTCTTCTGTTTCAGGTTGGAAATTAAGCCCAGTAGTTGGAGCTGTGTACGGCCCCGAATTATATGCAGGTAGTATTTAAGTTAATGTTTCTATTTGTGCTATTTAACTATCATAGCCTCTGTAGTTTTAGTTTTCTACCCCTTTGTAATCTTTTTCCATTTTTAAATTTTTTTAATGCAATCAGCATCCAGCTTTCAAGCAGATGTGTCCCTGGGCAATGATGCAGCAGTGCCCCTATCAGGAAGAGGGGGTATCAACACTTACATTCCTTTAATCAGTAAGTAGCCTATTTTGGCCTGGCATGGATTTTGACTATTGTGACTGAACAGTAGTGTGCTGGTTTGTTTGTTTGTTTGTTGTTCTAGTGTAATACATAACTGAAAAGAAAACATTCTCAAGAAGGGCAGTAAATATTATCACAGTGCTTTGTTCTGTTTAACCCATGCTAGAATGATCCTGACCAGATGTGAAGACTGCCACAAAAGTAGTTGGAAAGGGGATGAGGGGTGAAGGCATGTGAAGAATATTTGTTCTGTACTTGAAAATAAGGAAAACAAGACATGAATATGTGTAGCGTGTGCTATTCATGTCTTCTGCTAGTCTACTTAAGGCTCTCCAGTGGAGTATCACTTGAAAGCACCTTCAGTACTGCTGATTATTCTCAGCTCCCTTGATATCTTTAAAGTCATTTTGACCTGAGCCTTTTCATTCCAGCAAGAGATATAATTAAACAGGATTCAGTGGATGTGGAAATAATGTCTCTGCACACTTTCCGGAGAACAATACACTTAAAATAAGCCCATAGAGAACATCTGCCTCTTGAGAGGATGACAGGGTAGGGGTGGTTTTCCTCTCACCTTACATTTCTGCATTAAAACATTTCAGATAAAGGAATGAAATCGACTAATGAAATGAAGTATCTAACTATTGTGTGCCTTGGAGGTGATACCACATAAAAATACAAAAGAACATTCTTTTGAGGATTAATTATATTCATGCAGTAATGTTAAGAAACAAGATTAATAATTGGCCACTTAAGGAGCTCAAATCAATCTGATTTAAACTGCCCACGGAAATTAGAAGTCTTGCTTTTATTGTGCCAATAGTCCTCAGAGCTTCTTGACCTATTTCTTACTAGCAAGCATTGTAATGGCAAAATGGGAAGGAACAGAATAAACTCACTGAAGCTTGTGATAATTTAGGCATGGAATCATTCACTTGTACATGTTGGGTTTCTCTTTCCACTTCTTTCCCTCTCAGAGACCCAGGGCAGAAGAGGCACTGAAGACTATGTGCCAGCTTTTATTTTGGGGGATTTTTTGGTACTGGGGATCGAACTCGGGTCCTTGCGCTTGCAAGGCAGGCAGCGGAACCACTGACCTAAATCCCTGGCCCTGTACCAGCTTTTGAATGATGCGATACATAGCTTTTCATCTCTTCTATAATTTGTTTACAATGAGTTGTGACTATACCTACTATTGAATGCACATTGACATTTCTGTAATATTTTGGGTCTCCCTTTAGTTCCTGGCTTCCCTTACCCAACTGCAGCCACCACAGCGGCTGCTTTCAGAGGAGCCCATCTGAGGGGCAGAGGGCGGACAGTATATGGTGCAGTTCGAGCGGTACCTCCTACAGCCATCCCCGCCTATCCAGGGTAAGTAAGCATTACATTCCAAATTAGTATGTGTCTAAAATAAGAAATTGGACTCCCCCCCCCAAAAAAGAATACCATGGCCCTCTTTTAACTCTGGGACATTGCTGTGCCACATAGTATGAATATTTGCAAATTAACGTATTAGATGGCAAGAATCAAAATAAACCATCATAAGAATGTAACAAAATGACATTTCATTGTATAAATCTTGGTTTTGGCCACCTTAAGCCTTCATTGTAAGGGCTTAAGACGGTAGCCAGAACCAGCTTGTGTTTACTAGCAGTGTGTTGGCATGGAGTTCACTCAGCAGAGCACGAATATGGATTAACACTATTGCAGAGAACCAAGAGAGGAGCTGGAGATTGTAGTACCAGACTGTGTCTGCTGTGCTCACCCCCTTCTTGCCACCCTGTGTTGGGGCAGAGGCTGGCACATGTGCCGTCCCCATGGTTTCACTGCCTGGGTGGTGAGCAGCAGAGCTAGTTACCCACAATGGATTTGCTTTCTTTGTAGGAAACGGATTAAAAGAGGTTAATTCAAAGATGAACCGAGTCCAATTGAATCAAGGGAGAAAGGGAGAATTAGGAGGATTAAACTGCAGTTGGCTTCTGAAGGATGGTAAAACAGCTGATGTCGCTGAGCATCCTTCACCTTTTGATTTTTGTGTGGAGGGTGTCTCATGCAGTGGAATGATTCCATAGCAACAAATAAATCCCTTGCTGATGAAGAGGGAGAAGGAGTGAAGATGGCAAGTTTGTTTTAGTTGTTTCTCTGTGTCAGCCTAAAATGAGTATTTTTACCAGAAGTAGACTTTTACAAGTCAGTTGTACCAAGGGCTTTCTCTCTTCAGAGATGGGACTTTTCTCTTCATCTTTTCTCTGCCTTTGGCAGGTTTTTTTCTGTATTCTTACAAAGAAATAAATAGCGGCAGAAAACCCTGTTAGCTGCTACTTAGTTAAAACATAAAGGGAAAGAGCCTCCTTTGTATGTCCTTTTCTGAGAGGAAATTTGGCTTCACCTGGAGGTGTACTAATTTAACATTCATTCATTCATAGACCAATTGGACATTCCATTAGGAGTCCTCCATGCCACAGAATTAAAGCACTTTTATTAGACAAGGCAAGTATGCATGTGGAAGTGGGCAGGCTCCAAAAGACACTGGAAGGGAACTGCTACAGAAAATTACTTTTTATTGTTTGCAAGTTAAAGATGTTTAAATCCCATGCATTTCATCATCTCCATCTTCTGCCATGACTTTTAATTTTATCCTTTTTTCTCTCTACTTGACCTTTGACCTTCAACCTCTGACATCTCTAAAGAAATGAATACTTAGTATTCATCCAAAAAATATTCAAATAAAACATAAAAAAGATTTGAAAATCCTACACACTAGGAAAATTGATCACGAAGCTTCTTCCATTTCAGCCCAAGGATATTTACTGTCACATTTGCAAAAAGACTGCTCAGAGAAACGTGGGATTTCTTTTTAACCTTCCCAAGTAATTGTATAAGGTGGTTGAATTCATTCCTGTTTGATGTAGGTCATTTCACTATATTGGCCAAACTTGAGAGCCCATTCTCTACCAAGTCCGTGTCAGGTATATATTTGCTCAAAGATATTTTATCTTTTATGTCTAATCACATCAATTTCTGTGCATTACATTGAACACTAATTTCCCATGTTTTCTTTTTTATTAACTAAACTACTTGTTTACATGGAAGATGGCAAGGAATAAGTCCAGTATTTTATGGGGAATGGCCTGGAATTGCTTTTCAGCTTAGTTAACTAATTCCATCGTCATTAATTGTGTTCTAGCCTCCTTGTGGCATTTTATACAGGGAATATTGAAATTCTTCTAGAATTTAGATGAATATTCCCATTAAGTGATTTGACTTAGGGCAAAATCTATGCATGTTTTTAATGTCAACATTTCACTATTGAATGTTTTTTAGTCTTTCCCTATATCTCCTTACCGAAATCACTGAAAGTCAATTAATCACCACTTGGACTCAGTGCTTTCTATTTTACCAGCTTTCCCATTGCAGGACCAGTCTTTTTATGTACTGAAATGCAACTGAGAGGCAGATTAGTTTCTATTTTCAGATTTTAAGTGCAATTGCGAACTGTGAAAATGAATAGGACTTAGCCAAATAACCATCAAAGATAGTTTAGTCTGCCTGTTGTGTAGTTCAAAGGAATAACATTTGAAACACTGCAAATTGTGACCATACTATCATGTAAATATAACAAAATGTCACTGAAAATAGGATTCAGAAACTTTTCAGCTACTTATAAGAAACAAGTTATTTCATACTCATGTTAAAAATACGATTTAATAACCCTACTTGCCAACTTGTTAATTATAACAGAAAGTAGTGGTAAGATTTTCCATCTTGTTTAGTTGAATGTACAATAAACAGATCATCTCATTTAAAAGTCAAATCTTGACCTAACTATTACGAAGAAGAAATTTTTATCTTTTATCTCTACTGCTGTTTCATGTCTTTTGGTCCCAAAGTAATGTTTTGGGGAAAGACTATATATATAAAAGAACCTCAAAAGATTGGAAATCTATATTTTTAAGAATAATAGTATAGTGTTGCTCCAGGTTTAAGAAAAATAAAAGATTTACAGGTTGTTTGTTTGATACAAAGTCATCTAAAGAGAAACATCTGTTCCTAACTAGCCACCCTTTTGATTTTATTCTTTTAAACAAGATAGGATGATCCTTGGTCAAGCCCAGAACTTCAGTTATCAGCTGTTTTTTTTCAGGATTCTGTGAGCACTCTTATAGTCAAAAAAGACCACTTAAAATCTTTCAGTTACTCCTTCCCACTCTGGATTATATTGTTACTATCTGGGATCCCCACTGCACCTTTCAATTCTTGGACCTTGGACCGATCACCTTTAACCTTTAGCTCATTATCTCTGCTTGTGAAAGCAATGCATTGTGGGTATTTTTGGTTGGTTTTTTTGTTTTTTTTTTTGTTTTTTTTTTTAATTACATTTCTCTGTTTACTTTGGTCAGAATTGATTGACTTGTTTTTCTGAGGTGTTGCATTGGTTCTTAAAAATGCTGAATAATAATACTTTGCATGCTTGTGTGATCAGCCAAATCTTATTGCATGTCTAATGTGCAGGGTAAAAAGCAGGTGATGTATGGATATCGAAAAATTTACATTTTACTATGAAACAAAATAAAGTAATAAACATAATTTTGAAAGGTAGTTTACATACATATCCTGCCCTAATGGAATTATTTGGGTTCACTTGTTTCATGTCAAACCTCTCCATCCGTACCCTCTTTTTAAACTCTTCAAAGAAAATCTTTCTAGAACAGACTTACCTTTTAAAATACTCCAGATATGAAAAGTGAATGTTCCAGTACAGCTGATTTGGGATAGCCATTTTAGGCTTTTCTCTGAGTGGTTTTGTTTTGTTAAAATCCTTTAGTTATCAAATATCCAGATACTCATTCTAGTTTTGCACACCTTTCAGTCTCCTCGCATGTCTTGTAGCTATATAACATGAGTGTGCACTTTCACATTTTTCTCACTGACTTGTCATGGCCCCAAGCCCAGGTTACGTATTCATACATCACCTGCCTGTGTAGAGCGCATGTGCATGCTGCCGTCCTCAATAACCGGAATGTGTTTCTGTTCTTTTGTTTTTTTGTTTTTGTTTTTGTGTGGATTTTCTGCAGTGTGGTTTACCAGGACGGATTTTACGGTGCTGACCTCTATGTAAGTACACACTGGGGCCTTCTTGACCCCATCCCCTGACAAGCCAGCCTTTTTTTTCTGTTTCTTTGGTTTGGTTATTTTGTTTTTTGTTTT